GAATGATCAATATCAGTAATATATATATATATATATATATATATTTATATATATTATATATATATATATATATATATATATAATATATATATATATATATATATATTATATATATAATCTAATATGGCGTTTTAGTCTAATCTGACATGATTAACCAGTTATCGTGTTAGATACGGGAAGAAGACATCATTTTTGTGTATTTGATGTTCATTTCTTATAAGATAAGATTAATATATCATAGATGAGAGTGGCTTTCATTTGTTCTCTACATCCCAAATGGTTAGAATTCGGAAAACTCAAACATCAGTTGTTGAAAATCATGGTCATGATAATGTCATGTTGCTGAAATTTGGCTCTTTCGAATTCTAGAAGAAGACTTGCTTAAGGTGAGGAGAATAAATGGGCTAGAGCATTTTTCATTCATATGGCGTTGAACACGAACCAACCGCTGATAACATATTGATGAAGTTTGTTGCATTTTTTTCATTCTCAATTTAGCACTCGCTGTACTCTCCTTATGTATTGCACTCATATCTAATTTGTACTTAAAGACAAATATAATTATATATTAGAAAATTAATGATTCTGATAAAGTAGTGATCTCTCAACTACTTTTTTGTGGTGGAGAATCTGAATCCGTTGTAAAAACAAATATTCTTCCCCCTTATTTCCTTGTAAACATCAAATGTACCTTTACATCCTAGTCCGAATAATTAAGAGATACAGTCATAGGTTAAATGCGAGTATAAAATTATATAAGTTAACGTTAAAACGTCGCCAGACTTCATAGTTTTGGAATACTCGTGGAAGGACAGAAAGGATTTTTAAAAAAATTACTCTGATGAGAGTTCATGTTTCCACCCATAAAAGAATGTTCAACTTTCGGTCAAAATTGCTAGAGTATAAAATGATCCTTAATTCTTATACTGCAACTTAGAATTTTTGTGCATGGAGATGGACCTTTGACATAAAATTTCAAATACGTTAAACTTGCAACACTTGACATAAAAAAAATTTAATTACAAAATCTTATTGTAAACTTTTCTTAATTTACAGTATGTTATCGTCTATCAATCTGTAATTTTTCTTTCTTGATTTACACATCGATGTGGTTATGTGGATCACCAACATCTAAAGTTGGTTGTGAAGTCTCACAGTCACACTTGCTTCCTGTTGTTTTGTACATCGGGAATGTGTTTGCATGAAATAAATAAAAGTTGATAAATAATTAAAACAGCATTAGACTACGTACAAATACGTACCCATGGTATGTACACTGGAGAAATATGCTACAAATTAACCAATTATATGTCATGTTATATATTGAAAATTTATCTTTGCGCGTGTGCTTATGTATGTACATGTATGGTTAGTAAGTCATTCATAAGAGATATACGTGGAGTGTCAAATGAGGGGTAATGAATTACCAAACTGTTTTCTTCTTAACTCAGGGCATCTCCAACCGAGCATCAAAATGGTGCAAACAGTGCTTTTTGTTGCACTATTCATTCTCCAACCTAACCCTATTTTCTGCGCCATTTTGGTGCAGTTGAACAGTGCTGCACCAAATATGGCGTTGCACTGTTCATCTGCATCATTACTGTTCATTTTTAAAAAAACATTTAAATATTTATTTTTACCTCTTAATTAATATAAAAATAGATAAAAGGAAATAAACTGAGAATATTATGAGAATATTCTTTTTTGGTGCAAAAAATGGTGCAATGGGTTGGAGATCACGTTTGCTATATCCACTCCCAAACAGTAATTTTGGGAGTTGGATTGCCGAAAATGCCCTTTTGTTGCCACCGGACTCTGTGTCCGGTGTGCAATAATTTTTTTTGAAATATTTTCGGCCACCGGACTTGGTGTCCGGTGTGCATTGATTTGCTTTTTTTTAATTATTACTGCCACCGGACTCCGTGTCTGGTGTGCTTTATATATATATTTTTTAATTGTTCGCCCACCGGAAGCAACACATTCGAACGAGGCATGAAAATGTGGTGAAAACGGTAGAAAAATCATTAATAGTTTTCATAATTTTTTTTTGAGAACATATATAAATGTTGGTTTAATTTTAATATAATTAAAATTAAACCAACATTTATATACGTTCTAAAAAAAAATTAATTTTTTTTAATAACACTTCAAACATTTTTAACAAATAAAAATCATTAATAGTTTTCATAAAAAATCAATTAACGATATAGTTCCAAATCCTACAATTAAAATACACAATTAAAATGGAATTAGTTAATAAAACAAAATAAAAAAAAATTATAACCCACCGGACACGGTGTCCGGTGGCCGACAGGCGCGTCAGACTATGTGTCCGGTGGGCAACAAAAAAAAAGTGTCCGGTGGGACACAAAAAAAGACAGAAAAATTAATTACCCACCGGATTGACTGTCCGATGGGAGAAGGGCAATTTAGTCCTCACACACCCCCAAAGTTACTGTTTGGGAGTGTGAATAGTTGGACCCGTTAGAGATGTATTACTGTTTGATGTGACTTTTGCACCATTTTGATACAAAATTTACATCATTTTGGTGCAATGGGATTTTGGTGCAATGGGTTGGAGATGGTCTCATAATATGGTTCAGAACGCTCCGCACTGTGCGAGCATTCTGTTATGATTTGTATTCATATACGTTGATCGTTATTTTTCATGTGGGCCACCTAAAGTAAGTGGTCCTTATTAAAATATGGCTGGGACTCACAGATAGCTTATAGTTGAGAGTACAGGAAACTTTGGTAGTTACACCAACATCTGTTGCATTAATATTCAATTCTTTCTAAATAGTTGCATGTACGCATTTAGCTCCTGAGGTAGTTCGAACATAAGAGGGTCTTTTTTCCTACCAAGTCGTCGCAATGATATATATAAAGTTTGAGTTGAAATGATCGGTCACAAGATGGATCATTCTATTGTTTGTGATAGCCCCAGAAAATTTCGAGCTGTTTTAGTAGACAAATACTTTTTTTTGATCAATTTTATTGTGCGTGATAGTAACAGATCAATTTTATTGATTTTAGGGGTGTTCTTTTTTTTAAAAAAAAATTTGATACTTTGGAAGGTTGATTTGCTGACGTTTGAGAGGTAATTTACAAATACTCATGATTTTAAGAGTATATATGCAAATAACCCAACCAGAAAAATACTGAAGAGACAAGGATTTGTCTGTTACTAATTTGTGGAAAAGCAAAAAATGGAGACACGAAACTGAAGGAGAGAGATTGGAACATGAAGCAAAAGAAATTATGAAAGCCATTAAATGTATAAATTAAACAACAACATTTACATTAAATGCTATTAACACGAGTTGCACAGATTTATTGAGAACTTTTGAGCATATATGGTTGAAAATTGAAAACTGAGCCCAATCAATCTAATCTTAATAGTTTTTTTGTTTCTTCATTGAGTTGGACAATTCCATCATGTAACGAGGCCGGCACGTGCCCGCTTCACTAGTTATGCAGATACGACTCACATATATGTTTCATTCAAGATAAGATGAACGTGTCGGATTCTGAATAAATTTTGGGAGTGGGGTCAAAAAGTCATGGCCTTCGTCTTGTTATTAGAATTGACTGTGTTTTTTTTTTATGGAGGCAATGACTCATCTATCTAAAGATAAGATAAGGAGACCACATAATAGCATTGTCACTGACTGATTAAGATAGCAGTGGCGGCAAATAACGTCTGATAAGTGCAAAGACCGAGGGTATTTGTTGATATAGGAATTAGATATTTCAAGTAGTTGATGGATGCTTGTTGATATAGGAATAAGATGCTTCAAGTAGTTGATAAGTGATAAATTTGAGGGTGTGTTTGGCAACTTTTTAAAATGTGGCGATCCTTCAAACGTGGTCCTATTTTGAGAAAAATAGGTTTGGATAGACCAATATTAGCTCAGTTTTTTTTAGGATTAAAATGTTTTTTTAGGACTAGTCTAAACAAGAACAATAGGTCTTAAAATTGAAACTAGTCTAATTTGAATAAATTAAAAAAGGGGTAATCAAACAGTTTAGTTGGTACCAATATGTCTCAAAATTATTCAAAATGTATGAGCTTTGGTTCGTAAACAGACGTAAACACAAGGTTTATTGTTAGTAAAAAGAACTCAACAGTGTCGCTTTGGCCGAGTGGTTAAGGCGTGTGCCTGCTAAGTACATGGGGTTTCCCCGCGAGAGTTCGAATCTCTCAGGCGACGTTACTTATTTTAATCTTCTTTTCCTTTTTTGAATTGTCGCCTGCTTTATTACCTTTTACCCCTCTTTGAGAATTTTTATTTCGAATTCCCTTCTCCACCATTATTTTCCGATAAAACACCTCAACCCCCTCCTCTTCAATGCTTTACGGCTGGCGGATCCAATGCCGTACAAAGCATAATCTTCTTTCCACCATAGCTTTTTTTTTCCCTCCTCGGTTGATTGATTGATTCCATGTCGGCTTTCGCCCAAGTTACACGCATGGAGTATATATTGACATCGTGAATTATTATTTCCTTTCATAATTCCTGGATCAATTCAGCTGACACACATACATAGTAATTTTTGCTCTAAGCATGAGTAAAAGTTTTACACATCTCACGAAGGACGACTAAAGTACTTTCTCCATGTAACTTTTCGCTGAATCCGGCGTTTTCTCTGTTTCAGTGAACTTACTACATTCTGATATAAACCAGCTTAAAGATACAAGTAGACTAATATACAAGACCAGAAAGATTGGGGACGAAACTAAATGGGGGGGAGAAAACTGACCGTGTATTGATTATTTGAAGTTTGAACGATCAGGTCATAACACGAAATGGAACATAATCTCAGATGCGAAAACAAACGAAACTAATTGCGGGGAGAAAACTTCCCGTGTATTGATTATTTGAAGTTTGAACGACCAGGTCATAACACGAAAAGGAACATAATCTCAGATGTGTGAACAAATGAATCTGGGGAAAAGAAATCAGAGATAATGCAGGCCTCTCCTCATTGCAGGAATATAGTCATAACAAAAGTAATACTATTACTACCAGAATAAATAGCTTTAGTTAATGTTTCCTCTCTTCTTACAAATACAGTCATGCATAGATTGGTAGTACAATCTCATTGTCGGTCCAAAAAACCCGAACAATACACCTCCTTGCAACTCACAAAATCAAGGACAGAGATTACATTTAGGGGAGAACCCCCCCCAAAAAAAGGAAAAGAATCATTGGTCCTCTAGTAAAACTCGGATTTTCCAACACAATCAACACATAGAGGATGTAAACATCAACCTCTTGGTCCAAGTCAGCCGCCTAGGTTGGATTCTGAAGTCAAATTCTTGAACGGGATGCAATAGCAAAGGTCAAAACTTATCACAAACGATGAAAAGAACAGGAAAAGATTGACAATGCATCATGTCACAACACTAGGATTCAGCCAGTAAGGATTTCAACTTTGTCTGGAACTTGGGGATTTCATCAGCTTTTACAGCCATCACTAGCCCCATTGTCCTGTAATTTTTCAGCTGCAAAAACGAAAAAGCTTACTCATTAAAATTTAAAGACAAAACACTGATATTTTAATCATGTTTTTTCCCCATTTTGCAAAAATAAGAAAGCACGAAAAAAAAACCACACATGATTAGGTTAATGCAGCTATGAAAAAGCACTGGAGGAACCAATGAAAAAGCACCAGAGGAACCAATAATAATAAGGGGTAAACGCGTGTGAATTTGCAAAACTATCCCCCAAATGTCAATAATTGCAAAAGTACCCCTCCAACAAACTATCAACTTTGTTGGCTATGATGAGTAAAAAATCGACAGATTTGCTGATATTTTTTCATTGAAGTTGCATATTAGCCTATCAAAGTTGATAATTTGTTGGTTTGGTTCTCGTTTCTTCCAAAATTGATGATTTGGGGAATAGCTTTGCAAAAATGCATGATAAGGGGCGCATACACACAAAACCCTAATAACAATAAATGGTGAATGATGATGACAATGACGATGATTTTCCTCACCACAGAAAAAAATGAATAACACAAAGACAAGGCAGCTGGTAATAATTTCTGATAAACGTTTCAGCTTTACTTGCTTCCATGAATATCATCAGTTCAGATGTACTTCTGATACCTAGTTCTTTTTAAGCTATAACTTCCTTCAAAAGGATGAACTTGTGCTTGATGTTAATTGGATTCTAATCGCTTAAGTATCTGTATTCTTGCATCAACTCAGAATACCAAACTTCAGTTTTCTTTCTGATTAAATGTTTCGGGGTCTGTTTGCTAGGTATTAGATATCATACAAAAGTAACCAAGTGCAGCACGAAAAACTTTCCCACCTGTTGGGAGCTCATAAATCTCACTCTTCCATGTATTGCTAGGTATTCCCTAGTGATAGTTCACTTAATCAGATTTCTATTCCAATTTCCACATACATTCATCTTCCTGAACTTCTAATAAAAGTAAAAATTAACCCAAATTTCAAATTTATCTTCCCATAAGTTGCACGAAATACTCGATCATAAATTTAAATTTTCTGATACACATTACACCTATACTTATACGTTCAATTTGCCACTGTAGACCAAAAACAACATAACCATTGTTTATGATCACCTACCTCCCTACACTATTACACCAATCACCTACCAACCATTTTTAATTTTTTATTAGATTTGAGAGGTTATAAAAAGAGAAGTGGTGAAGGGAGAATAATCAGACAGACAGAGAGAAAGAGTTTGAGATAAGAGAGAGAAGAGAGAAATAGAAAGAGTTAATCTCTTTCTTTGTGTGATTCTTTGGTTAGAGAGTGATCTTATTTGAAATCTTCTCTTTTGTGATTAGTGAAATTCTTTGTTGTTATCGCCCGTGGACGTAGGTTATATTGACCGAACCACGTTAAATCATTGTGTGTTGTTCTCTTTGTCTCCACTATGTTTATTCAGTGTTGTTATTCTTCACTCATGTATAGACATCTTCTGTGTCTGTGAAGCCCCGCTGCTACAAACTGGTATCAAAGCCTGTCTTAGAGTGCGTGTATCCACTTATCGTATGCTATGTGACTGCCACTAAAAGTGGATCCTCCACATCAGAAAATATATTAGATTATCATGTACTCTTTAAAGGCAATGGACACTATTTCACGAGTATAACATCGTTCACAAGTACGGTCACTGTTCACAAATATGGTTACTGTTCACAAATACGATTGCTGTTCTGATGGTCTTCAAGATGTCTTATACAAATTACAAAGTGAAAAAATTCGATGAAAAAAACAGCTTCAGTTTGTGGAGAGTAAAAATGAGAGCTCTCCTAGTACAACAAGGACTATTGAAAGACTTGTCTGGAAAGGCTCAGTTGTCGGAATCTATGCCCGATGATGAGAAAGAAGAGCTGGAGATGAAGGCGCATAGTGTCGGGCCGATGAGGTCTTGCGGGAGGTTGTCAATGAAGATACCATTGCCGGCTTGTGACTCAATGTTTTTGGGAAAAATTAAAAGAAGAAATTAGAAAATTAAATATGTATTATTCTCTCTAACAGACTTAGAAAAAGAATTAATTACAATTCTCTCAATGCAATCCCTCTCTAACAAACTTAGAAAAAGAAATTACAATCTTCTTGTATCGGATTCCCGATTTACAAAAGAGAAAAATCGACGGAGATCCTTCCCTTTGTTTAACTTGTGTTCTTCTAAGTGTCGATGGAATGTCTCCCTCGAATGCTTGCGTCGAGTTTGCTTTTTGTTGACGATCCGAACGTTTCACCTCGTGGAACGTTGCCTTCGCCTCTTGACTCGAAGTCTTGGACGAACTAACGTGACAAGTTTGAAACTCTTAATGAGTTAGGGAACTCTGAGCGAGTTATATAACTCTATGGAAGAGTTGATTGATTTAACCAAAAATCGGTTTGTAAGTCAAGGTTGATGAAAGCTCCAAGAACAACTCTGAGGGTCTGAATATTGCCGAGATCCTTCTTCTGCTAAGAAATCTTGTGTCGATCTCCAAAAGATTGATTCGAAAGATGCCTTTATATCTCCAAGAATTTTGATTAAGAAAAAGAGAGTCCCAACTCAATTGAGTTTCTGGTATTTATAAGGGATTAAGGGGTGTAACCGTCCCCTTAATCCGCTCCTTAATGGGGGCTTAATCGCCCCATTAATCGGGTGTAACAACCCCTCTTAAACCGCTCCCCAAATCGTGGATGAAAAACGATTTCTGAAACTGTTTGAATCACGCTTGAATGAATCAAACGCAGGTCCTGTGTTGCTGAACGTGAATCCTGCGTTCGAACGTAACGTTTGGAAGCTGTGTTAGCAGCTGGATTTGAGCTGTGTTTGCGGCTGAATGTGAGCTTCGTTTGCGGCTAATAACGCTGGAAGCTGCGTTAGCAGCTAGATTTGAGTTGCGTTGGTGGTTTATAACGCTGAAAGCTGCATTGCTTTGACTATGGAATGCGGCCACTTGTGTTTCATTTCTAGGACGTAGAGATGAGTTTTGTGTTTTGGGCTGAAGAGATCGTTGACTTGTAATCTCTTCTGTTAGAGCGTTTTTGCAAATATCGTTGTCTTGTAATCTTTACTTTAGCTCCTTGAAATGTGAGTCGTCAGATTGTAACTCTCGTTAATTGTAAAGACTGTTGAATCAGAGATTTCATCGGTTGTCGTGAAGGTCATCGAATTATAATCTTTCTCGATCTACGTGATAATCTTCCAATTATAGCCTTTATTTTTGTTAATGTGAAAGTCATTTGATTGTAACTTTCATTATCGGTGTTTGATGAGGATCAGCTATCTACAGTAATTTTTAGACAGCCTACACTCAAGTTGGAGAGCTTGTACATGACGAAATCTCTAACGAACAAGCTCTACTTGAAGCAACGCCTCTTCACCCTTCGCAAGAAGGAAGGTATACGAATTAAAGACCACTTAGATGAACTTAACACTATTCTTATGGATGTAAAGAATATTTATGTTAAAATCGACGAAGAATATCAAGCACTTATCTTGTTATGTTCATTACCTCCTCCTTCCTATGAAAATATTGTCAATAGTATGCTTTATGGTAGAGATACACTTTCTTTGGAGGATGTCAAATCAGCCTTACATTTAAAAGAATTAAGACAAAAAGTGTCTGTTGTAGGAGGAGAGGATCAAGCTGAAGGCCTATTCACTCGTGGTCGTCCTGAAAAGGGTGTTAGTGGTAGAGGCAAATCTAGAAATATGTCTACATCAAAGTCCATGCTAAGAAAAAATATTGAATGTTATTATTGTCACAAGTATGAGCATACATAACCTAATTGTCCAGTGCTCAAAGCAAAGGATAATTCACAGTTAAAGTTTGAGGAGGTGAAACCTTCAGTTATCACTGTAACTGAAGAGTCTTCTAGTTCACATGAAGTTCTTTCAGTTAGTGTTAATACTCATTCACAATATGAGTATGTTTTATATTTGGGTTGTTCCTACCATATGTGTCCGCACAGGGATTGGTTTGTCACATAGCAATCTATCAATGGTAGGAATGTCTTGTTGAAAAATAGCATGCCTTGCAAGACTGTTGGTATCGGATTAATTAAGTTTAGAACCCATGATGGTATCGTTAGAACATTAAGCAATGTCCGACATATACCAGAGTTAAAAAAAAACCTCATTCTTTAGGCATCCTTGACTCAAATGGTTTTAAGTTTTCAACTGAAGGTGAAGTTTTGAGAGTTAATAAAGATTCTCTTGTTGTGATGAAAGGAAAGAAGATAAATACCCTCTATATCCTTAAAGACAATATAGTGACAGGTGCTGTAGCATTGTCATCTTCAGATAATTCAGATTCTGACACCACACATTTGTGGCGTATGAGGTTAAGGCATATGAGTGGGGGACGAGTAAATATATTGAGCAAACAATGTCTGCTTTGTGATCAAAAAATTAGTAAGCTAGACTTTTGTGAGCATTGTGTTTACAACAAACACCATATAGTCTCCTTTAGTACCGGTGTCCATAGAAAAAATGGTAATTTAGATTATATTCATTCAGATATTTGGGGTCCCTCTCAGGTTCCATCGAAAGGTGGAGCTTAATTTCTGCTAACATTGATTGATGATTATTCCAGAAAAATTTGGATGTATCATTTGAAGCATAAGAGTGATGTGTTTGCAACCTTCAAACAATTGAAGGTTAAGATTTAGAAGCAAACAGGAAAGAAAGTGAAGCGCCTCAAAACCGACAATGGGATGAAGTTTTGTTCTACAGAGTTTGACCAATTCTGCAAGAATGAAGGTATTGTACGTCATCGTACAGATCGGCATACACCACAACAAAATAGAGTTGCAGAAATGATGAACAAAACACTTTTAGAGAGAGCTCGGCGCATGCTCTCTAATACTGGTTTATCAAAAGACTTTTGGGCCAAGACAGTCAATACAGTTTGTTATTTGATAAACAGATCTCCTTCTACAGCAATTAATTTTAAAACTCTATAAGAGGTATGGTCTGTTGCCCCTGCTAATTACTCTCATTTAAGAGTATTTAGTTGCTCTGCTATTTTCATGTTAATGATGGTAAGCTTGAACCCAGAGCAAATAAAGCTATCTTTCTAGGATATGCTACTGGGATGAAGAGATATAGATTGTGGTGTTCTAATTTTAAATCACCTAAGTTTATTATTAGTAGGGATATTTTTTATGAGAAATATATGCTTCACCTGAGAAAGAATTTTCTTATTAATACCACAGATACTAAAAAAGAGTCCAGTAAACAGGTAGAGCTAGAGAGCTTAGCTTCAAAGAGAGTGCTTGAGGGCGCTCATGTTGAACTAGTTGATACTGCGAAATGTTCAACTTCAAATGCTGATACACAGCAAAAGCAACAATATAATATTGCCATTAGGAGAACAAAAAGGCAAATCCGACCTACTCAACGTTATGCAGACATGCTTATGCTTTGAGTATAACAGAGTCGATTGAAATTCCAGAACCTTCTACCTATAAGGAGACTATTAGTGATAAGGAGGCTGCAAATTAAACTGTTGTGGTGACTGAAGAGATGGGAGTCTCTTCACAAGAACCAAACATGAAAGTTAGTGAAACCACGAAAGGGACAGAAAATTATTGGTTGTAAATGGGTCTTCAAGAAGAAAATAGGAGCTCCTGATACAGAATCTATAAGGTACAAGACATGTTTGGTAGCTAAAGGTTACAGTCAGACAGAAGGTGTAGAGTTCAATGAAGTATTTTCTTTAGTTATAAAACACACATCAATCTGCGTGTTGATTGTCATGGCTGCTCATTTTAATTTGGAGCTTAAGCAACTTGATATGAAAACGACTTTTCTACATTGTGAGATTGAGTAGTAGATATTTATGCATTAACCAGAGGGGTTCATTGTTGAAAATAAAAAAAATTATGTGTGCAGGTTGAATAAATCTATTTATGGGTTGAAACAGTCTCCGAGACAGTAGTATTTAAGATTTGATACTTTCGTGTTTGAGCATAGTTACTTTAGGAGTAAATATGATAGTTGTGTATATCATAAAAAGCTCAATAATGGTTCTTTCATATATTTGTTTTTGTATGTTGATGACATGTTGATTGCAGCTAAAAATATGTCAGAAATCAACAAGTTAAAATCTCAACTCAAACATGAGTTTGAGATGAAGGACTTAGGAGCAACAAAGAAGATTTTGGGATGGAGATCCACAGGAACAGACAAGAAAAAAGTTTATTCCTATCTCAGGAGAAATACATCAAGGTGTTGGAAAGATTCGGCATGCTTAATGTCAAGCCTGTGAAAACTCCGATTGCTGCTCATTTTCGTCTTTCAGCAGATTTATCACCTCAGACTGAAGAGGAGCAGTACATGTCTTGTGTTCCTTATGCGAGTGCAGTTAGAAGCATTATGTATGCTATGGTCTGCACTCGTCCTGATATTTCACATGCAGTTAGTATTATGAGTCGGTATATGGATAAACCTAAAAAGGTGCATTGACAGGCTGTGAAATCGGTACTTAGATATTTGAGAGGATCTGTTAATATTGATTTGTATTTTGACAGGAACACAAATTCAAATTACAGCATACTTGGCTATTCAGATTCAGATTATGCGAGTGATTTAGATAACAGACGATCCCTGACAGATTATATATTCATTCTGTCAGATAGTGCCATTAGTTGGAAGGCGACTCTATAGTTGACAGTTACTTTGTCTATCATAGAGGCAGAGTATATGTCAATGACAAAAGCAGTTAAAGAAGCTATTTGATAAAGACGTTTGGTTGAAGATCTCGGCTTACACCAAGGTGTTACTACGGTATTTTATGACAGCCAGAGTGCTATACATTTGATGAAGCATTAGATGTATCATGAAAAAACCAAACATATAGATGTCAGGTATCATTTTATCAGAAAAATTAAAATCATCAAGATTGAGAAAATTGGTACTGCAGATAATCTAACAGATATGATGACGAAGCTCGTACCTTCGCGACGAGCTTCGCGTAAGTTCAAGCATTGTCTCGAATTGTTTGGAGTTTAACAAAGCGAATGTTAAGCTCGTAATGGGCTTCTGGCGAGACAGTAAGAATAAAGAGAAGATCTTCATATTTAAAGTCAAGGTGGATATTTGTTGTTATTTGACTTTGTATATGATCACCTACCTCCCTATACTATTACACCAATCACGTATCTTCCTACAATATTACACCAACCATTGTTTAATTTTTTATTAGATTTGAGAGATTATAAAAGGGGGAGTGGTGAAGGGAGAATAATCAGACAGATAGAGAGAAAGAGTTAGAGAAGAGAGAGAGAGAGAGAGAGAAAGAGTTAATCTCTTTCTTTGTGTGATTCTTTGGTTAGAGAGTGATCTCATTTGTAATCTTCTCTTTTGTGATTAGTGAAGTTCTCTGTTCTCTCTCGTGGACGTAAGTCATACTAACCGAACCACATTAAATTCTTGTGCTCTGTTCTCTTTGTCTTCACTGTGTTTATTCAGTGTTGTTATTCTTCACTCTTATATAGACATCTTCTGTGTCTGTGAAGCCACATCTTCTGCGTCTGTGAAGCCCCCGCTACTACAATAAAGATTCAGAGCACCCCTATCCGAAAGGAAGGGGAAAATCCCTTAGCCAAAATAGATCAAATTTCTTACAGCTTTTAGGTTTTTCTTCTTAAAAAAATAAAAATAAAAATTGAGGAGGTTTTTTTTTTGTTCTATTGTGTAAACTATAAATGTTACTTAGAAAAACAGCAAATAAGCATCCGACAAGTTATGATCTCTAGAAAGAGATTAATGATGAGTTTTTGTTGCATTAGAATTTTATTAGAGAAAAATAGGGATAAATTGGATTCTGTTAAACATAACTGGTAATAGTTAAAGTTCACATGATCATAAAAAACTAGGGTGTAAGTGATCAACCGAGACAAAACAATATCATTAGTTGTTTGCTTCATACATTTAACATAAGTCAACTGGAGTTAACTGTGTGATGATGAACAATTGGAACTGTAGATTGTAATTAAGATTTAATACGCTTTGGTTGGGCAAGGATTGACATCTTTATGCTCATTTACAGTAACTAGTATACCATATGTGCATTGCACGTGATGCATGATATTCTTATAGATTACCAGATATCATTAAATTAGTTTTTAACATTAATTTTATAATTTAAACAATAAGTTTTAGGGGGCTATCTCAAAACAGGCAAAACTTTTCTCCTAATGGGCAAAACTTTATTGGTTCCACTCTAAATAACTTATCTTCATCTATGACTGTGGTTATGGTGATAAATAACTTCATTCAAGCTATAGCGGTATCCTCTTTGAGGACTAAACCATGCCAACCGATAAGAACCATGAGTCCATGATAGAGCTGACGTGAGAAAGGGGATGGAGGGGATAGGGTGTTGTGGAATCTTTGCACATAATCAGGAGGCTGTGGTATACAACTTATACCATACTGCACATGTACCATGGAAGCAAAAGTTATGTATTTTATATATTTTCCCCTCAAATCAACGCACAATAGGAGGTTAAAATTTAGGATGGTAAAAGAATAATCTGAGCTCATAAGGTTCAGCTGCAGATTTTGTTGCGGGTTTCTATTCTTTGTAGCAAATAAGAGTCGCTTGTATTGTTCTTGGATGGAAAGCACTTATTATGTAAACAAAACCTGCAATATATATTAACAAAATTATTGGGGTATTAACAATGCCATGAAAGGACATACTATCATACCTCACGGGGAGCTAAGTGCTCGGCATGCAAAGGAAACGTAAATGACCATGAACTGAGCTGAAATGAGAGAATAAAGTATGTCAGCTATTAAAGCGATAAGAAAGTAAGATAACTACTATAAAATAAAAACAATACCTCACGGAATATTTCATCTTCGGCCTTCACATAAACAATAGGTTCATCACAATCCTGCTTTCCTCCCGCCTTTTTCTTTGCAATACTTTTCTTCTATAATTATACATAAAAACAAGTTAAACATAACTATGAACTATGTTAGGGGAAAATGCTTGACTAGTTTAGTTTAATAGGTACACTTTTCATGACTTATATCATCTCCAACTTAGCTGAGGAACATTCATTCTAGGCAAAAGTTCAGTTGGACATAGAACCTAGAAATTAGATTTTCCAACTATCTAGATATAATATTGTCTGACTCATATTCCATAAAAATGATTTTAGATACACGTGACAAGTTTGGAAGTTTTTGGTTTTTTGAATCAACTAAGTGGAAATCAGCAAAAAATTTAAAATTTTCTCACACTGTATTATTACATTCTTTCTTTAGCTTCCCGAAAGTTGATTATGTAACAGAAGTGGAATTAGAAAACTGATCTTTTTTTCAATAGAATATTTTTTTAAAATACTTTTCTATATACTTTCCTACAATTAAAACAGATTCTACAAAAAAATTCAAATGATCAACCAGCAGTCAGGAGTACCGAATGTATCTAACAAAACAAAGGCTCCCCTGCAGATGTCACACTGAGATTAACTCCTATCAAAGAAGCCAAACCACAAAGAGGCACTAAAACAGTTTAAACTGACATTTAAAGAATAAAAAACAAATACCTCATATATTCTGGTGAACAATAAATAGAATTTGAAACGGAAGGAGTCCTGTAGTTCTTGTGTGGGCTGTCAAAGTGTGCACATATATCATTGAAGTGACCAAAAAGAAGGAGAACAAAAATCACAAACCCATCAAAGTTTAGAAGTTACTGAATTCTCATCCAACCTCATCTTCTGTTGCCCAAGAAACCTCGTTGAATAGACCTTCATACAACGGTGGCACTAACTGGTAAGGGCAGTTCACAAACCGTTGAGAAACCAAGAGAGCTACCTCATTTGCTTGCTCTTCCAGCAGTAATTTCAACTTCTTCTTGGTGCTCTCACCATTGCATGACCCAAGCAAGAACTTCTTCAGTTCTCCAATACACCGATGACCCTAAAAGAAAAAATACAACACCCCATTCTACATGTCATGGTCGCATTTTCATCATCATATAGATCTTTATTTCACTCAAAGTTACTAGAACTTGGAACTAGTGCATAAAAAATAATCTTGAGCAAGTACTAACACTGAAAACCTCTACGAATCTTCCTGCCACAATAAAAGAGGTCATATTTCTCTGAATGAGGACCTTTGATCTAGGCCAAACAATAATGAAAGTGTCCTACCTTGATGAGTGCTTTATGTTTGCAATTCCTTTCAATCAATCATTTTGAAGCGTCAATGGAGGAGTATCACTAGAGTTAGACAGTAAGACCAAGCTTTTAAGGGATATGGTCAGAGACGAATTTCGAAAAGACCACTCAGCTAGGGGTGATTAGAGATTGGACTACATCTTGCTTAAATGTTTCTTTTTTTTACAAGATTTAGCCTAAAATGTGGTCTAATCGAACTAGTCGAGCAAAAAAAATATGAAATGCGCCATTGGCCCACTGCAATATGAAATTTTGAAGCATGATTCACAGAAAATAGCAGAAAAAGGGAAGGTAAAAAAGAAACGACATTTCTTACAGCATATCGCCCCAAATTAAGAGCGCTAACAACAGCATAAACACCATCATCATCATCATCGTCCTTCTTATCGCCTTCATCACCATCACCATCACCATCATCATAACCTTCATCGTAGCCGTCCAATTTGACAACACTCCCCACCGAAGTCTGCTCCAGTATCAAATCCACAAACCCACTAAGATCCCAAATTTTATCATCCAAATAATTCTGCAACAAGAGCTTCACTCCCCCAAAGTCATTGGGTTTCGGGTCGAAGAACCCGAAATCCGCTTGAACCATCTCCATAGATCCCTCCTCCTCCTCCTCATCCGCGTCATCATCGTCATCAGAAGAAGCAGACTCGATCCGTTTAGGTTTTGGTTTTGGTTCTGGTTCGGGCTCGGGGGATTTGGATCGGGATCCGATAGGGGAAGTGTGAGAAGATGAAACCCTAGTATTGGAGATGCAGCGAGCGAAGGAGGAGAAGGTGGGGACCTCGGGGAGTTGCCGGCGGCGCTTTGGCGGAGGCTTGGAATCGGCCATTATTAGGGTTTCTTCAGTACGCAGAGAGCTTGAGAGCGACGGACGACGACGAATTTTGAGGTTTAAGCCCTTCGAGGGTTTAATAGAGGAGGTCGGGTCCAACTCCACAAAGTTCCGTGATCCAATTACCCGGATAAGAGATTCAGAGAGGCGCTTATGTCCTTCTCATTCTCACATCCGTATGGTGCACGTCCTTTGCACGTGTGCCCCTTTTCATGCTTGTATCTCGGCGATCAGTGCTTATTAATTTTCCATACGTGTTGGAATTGATTGTTTTTAAGATGTTCACCAAAAAATAGATGACTGTCTGTTTGAACTCAAGGAAGAAGAAAGAACAGATTTTTGAGGGGCTCCGGTAATGAGTAAGTGGGTTTTCTTTGATTTTCGTTGTGATTTCTCAAGGAGAGTGGACCTCCTTATATAGGAGCTTAACCCGTCATCTCTACCCCTCAGATCCGTCCCCATGAGAGATTTTCTCTCAACCACCCACGATTCACGTTCTCCACCATTCTCTCAAACAGAGAAATCGTGGTTGATTTGGTCATCAATGATCGAGTCAAGCTAACATCTCCCACTTGACCAAATTAACCAAGTGACATGCCTCCCACTATCCGTGAGATCGGATATTTCTGCTTACCATTACTCCCACTATCCGTAGAGAGTAACTCTTATTTCATTATTCATAAAATTTTACTTGGACTTATTTATTCCTAAGTCCCATCAAACTTACGTGTTTGATAAAAGATTCCGCTAGTATTCCTTTTGTCAAAGGATCAGCAATCATATCTGTAGTAGGGATATAAGTCACTTTGACCTCTCCCTTTTCTACAATATCTCGAATATAGTGATACTGGATCTCAATATGTTTTCCTTTGGAGCTGTTCACGCCACTATTGATTAAGCTAATTGCTGCTTGATTATCACAATAAATATCAATAGGTTCTTCTAACAAATTGAGATCAAGATCAATCAAAAACCGTCTTATCCAGACAGCATGTGTAGTTGCCCTACTGCAAGCTATATATTCAGCTTCTTGTGTATATCTAGCAACACATCCTTATTTCTTGCTACTCCAAGAAACAGCCCCTCCTCCAAAGATGAATAAGTGTCCCGAAGTGGACTTCTCATCATCTTTATCACCTCCAAAATCAGCATCGGAATAACCGAGGAGTTCAAGCGAATCAGCTTGATAAACTAATCTATGAGTCAATGTACCTCTGATATACTTCATAATCCTTTTAACAGCTTCCCAATGTGCTGGTCCTGGATTACTTTGATATCGACTGACTAGACTCACAGCATAAGCTATATCAGGTCTAATGCACAACATTGCATACATCAAGCTTCCAATTGCTTGAGCATAAGGAACATCTAATGGCTTTTGCCCTTCTCCAAAACTTTGTTCTTTACATAATCTCTTTCCCATAACCAACAGAGTTGGTGCCGGATTGGAATTCTCCATTTCAAACCTTTTAAGAACTGATCTTAAATATTTTTCTTGGTTTAAACTTAGCATTCTAGACTTTCTATCTCGAATTATTTGAATTCCAAGAATATATGATGCATCTCCCATGTCTTTCATCTCAAACTTTTCGCTGAGATCTGCCTTGGTTTTATTCAACATTTCTATGTTATTTCCAGCGAGCAATATATCATCCACATATAAGGATAATATAGTAAACTTGCTCCCACTTTTTAAGACATATACACAATTATCTAATTTATTTTGAATAAAACCAAGTTTAGTAACTGCATCATAAAATTTGAGATACCATTGCCTAGAAGACTGTTTTAAACCATATAGAGATTTTATTAATTTATAAACTTTATATTCCTGTTCTTTCACCTGAAAACCTTCAGGTTGTTGCATATATATTGCTTCCTTCAACTCTCCGTTAAGGAATGCAGTTTTAACATCCATTTGGAATAATTCCAAATCAAGATATGCAACAATAGCCAAAATAATTCTAATGGATGCAAATTTAGTTACAGGAGAATATGTCTCCTGAAAATCTATTCCTGCCTTCTGGTTATAACCCTTGACAACTAACCGTGCTTTGAATATATCAATAGATCCATCAACACGATATTTCTTTTTGAGCACCCATTTGCATCCTATGGCTTTTCTATTTTCTGGTAGATCACATAACTCCCATACCTTATTCTTTTCTATAGAATCAAGTTCTTCTCTCATAGATTCTAGCCATAAAGCTTATTCATGCGATTTCATCGCATCAGAAAAGATTAAGGGATCTTGTTCTTCTATATTTGTATCTACCAAGAAACATGATGACTCACATGAATAAAAATAACAATCATCCATTTATAAAGGTTGTGTTCTTGGCCTTTTGTTGCCTATAACTGGTTGATTAGGTACATTATTTTTCATAGGTATTTCATCGTTTTCAAGGTTAGGTTCATTCACAATATCAGGGTCATTAGTAGGAACAATACTGTAATAATCATCATCTATTACAGTTAGAGGTTCTGTTTCCTCTTGAACTTGTTCCTCTTCCTCTAGATTCTCTAGAAATATAGCATCTCTGCTTTTAATGGATCTTTTTTCTTTATTATAGAACTTATAACCTTTTGATTTTTCTAAATACCCTATGAATCTACACTTTATTGTTTTAAAATCTAACTTATCTCTAAGTTGACATGGAATGAGAACATGGGCTATAGATCCCCATTTCCTGAGATGACTCAAATTAGGTTTCCTCTCATTCCATAATTCATAAGGTGTACATACAACTGATTTGGTGGAAATTCTATTTAAAATATAGTTTGCAGTTAACAATGCTTCTCCTTAAAAGTTTTTAGAGAGACCAGAATGAGACAACATGCATCTAACTACATTAAGTAATGTTCTGTTTTTTCTTTCAGCAACACCATTTTGTTATGGCGTATACGACATTGTTGTATGTCTTTTAATTCCATGTTGAATACAATAACTCTCAAATTCTTTAGAGTTATATTTCCCACCTCTATCAGTTCTCAAAATTTTGATTTTCAATCCAAATTGGTTTTTAACTTCTGTCTTATATCTCTTAAAGCAGTTAAAAGCTTCTAATTTTCTGGATATAAGATAGACGTGTGCAAACTTGGAATAATCATCTATAAAAGTAATAAAATATTCTTTATTACTATGAGTTTTGATACTTATGGGACCACAAATATCTGAGTGTATCAACCCTAAAAGTTCATTGGCTCTCTGTCCGCCAATAAAAGGTTTTCTAGTCATTTTACCAGTTAAAGAATGTTCACATGGTGACAATTGAACATTAGATAGTGCAGGAAGCAAGTTCATTCTAATAATTTCTTTCATTTTTGAAATACTAGCATGTTCTAATCTAGAATGCCACAATTCAGACTCAGAAATATAACATGATAAGTAGTTCAAATTCGAAATTTTATTATCAGAATTATTACAAACTACTGGAAGAATACATAATTCATGCTCAGGCACATATTTTCTCATAATATACACTTTATTATTCTTGCCTATAGAAATCCTATTATTATAGAACCTCACTTCCAGTGCTTTCTTCATCAAGCTGGGAATCGATATTAGATTGTGCCGAATTCCTGGCGCATAGAACACATCTTTGAGGACAAGAATGTTGTCCCCAAGATCCAATCTATACGAACCAATACATTCTACATCAAGATAGGTATTATTTCCCATATAGATTCTCTGTTCTCCTTTCTTCAGCTCGGTGAATTCTACGACTCCATTCTTGTCCTTTGCGATATGCCTAGTCACATCAGAGTCGATCCACCAACCACTGATATCCGTCATCACAACATTACATTCCGTCATACCGATAAATTCTCTTTTGCTAGTACCCCCTTGTTCTGGATGCTTATAGCCTCCCTTATTCTCCTGCTTTTCACCTTGTGGGTAATTGGGCTTGAAATGCCCGAATTTTCCACAATTGTAGCAGGCTCCGTGGGGTATTTTCTTTTTCTTGAACTGCTGTGACTTCGGTCCTCGCGGTTGTGGTTTACTAGGACCAGTGTTTTTATAGCTTTCAGTATTATGTCTCTGGCGGACATAATTCAGTTCCTGCTGCATCATATTCAGTTCTGGTTCCTTCCTACTAGCTATTAAGTTCTGTTCTATTGCTAGGTGTATAGGAAGATCAGTGACAGATTTAATGGCAGGATTCATTCTTAATGTGGTGGCAGCCACAACAAGTGAAGGGGGAAGACTATTCAAAATGGTTACCACTTGTATTCTTTCCGGGATTTTAGTCCCAGCAGTGGATAAGTCCTTAGCCATGACAATCATTTTATTTATATGTTCTACGACATTGTCTCCCTCTTGCATACGATAAGAATTATACTTATGTAAGAGGAGTTGAATGTTAACTTCAGAAGCATTGTCGTATTTTTCTTCTATTGCATTCCACATGTCCATGGAAGTTTTATAAGTTTCAAAAACTTTAATTAAATTATCTTCCATGAACATGAGCATAAGGCTTTTCGCCTTTTTGTCTTTCGACTTCCACTGCTCAAACCCTTTTTTTTCTTCAGGTGTTGATTTATCAGTAAGGGTTGGAGCAGTGGTTTCGATTATATCATCAATATTGTCATGAATAAGAGCATATCCTATTTTTCTATGCCACATATCATAATTACTACCATTAAATTTGTTAATTTTTTCTAGTTCTGATAGAACGAGTTTACTAGCCATTCGGTAAAGAACTAAAACTAAATTCAATTTTAAAATATGTATAAGGTTGATATATTAACAACTATACTAAAATATAATAATGTTAGAAAAATAAATAAATAAATAAAAATGAACCTGATTGTTCCAAGTTGATGAAAGAAACTCCAATTTGCGCGAGATTGTCACTTAGCGGTGTTGATTGAACAATTAACTCCCTGATCTGAGTTGGTGTAGCTTGTATTTGTAAAGAATCCAGTAGATAGAACAAGTAACTCTCGGTTCGAATTGACCAACACTTGTGTAATTCAACAAATGAACGGCATGGTCAGTTGAGAGAAACGTGGGCTTTATTATTGGGCTTTGAAATGTGGGCTGAGTGAATTGTATGTGGGCTGAGCAAAGGCTTTGATTTAAAAATAGATGAGTTTGGTTTTAATTCAACAAATAAAAAATGAATGGGCTCTGTAACTGGGCCTGTGAGTTATTGA